TTTGTATTTCTATAGTACAGCAATAAAACTGCTTTTTGTCATTTTGGGTCCTCCAATCCTGCCCACTTCACACAACACTTGACAAAAAGGTATCTTCAAATTTTTATTTTAGTCTTGATGTTAGTTGAAACAGTTTGTAATGAGTAAATCGAGCAGCCGAAAGAAGAAAAAGTTAAATGGGCCTAATGCAGTATGTAGGCTGGGAAGGATGCCATTGCTTCACTCTAGGTGGCTTTCAACCCACTTGCATCTGGTTTTAACGCCTGACGAGGCAGCCTAACCCTGTGTAGCATCTTTCACCAAGGTTAAGGGTGTGTACATATTCATAAATAGCTGTTGTGGTAAGCACCATGACTCAGAGTGGTGCCTTCTCATTCAAAATGAACTGCGGTTACATACTTACATATGTTTCACATGTCCTGTTATGTATAAATACATATGTACATATATATATATATTTCATACATACATATGGAAAATGTATTGGAACATTTGCACTTTGCTTGCTTGGGGTTGGACCCCTTTTTTCCTTCAGAGCTGTGTTGATAACAAAGATTCAATAAAGTATGTGACGCATTCCTTAGAGATTTGGTCTATACTGATGAAATACTATGGCACAATTTTTCAAATTTGTCAAAGGCAGATTAATGATGCAAATTTCCCATTCCACCACATTTCAAAGATCTTCTTTTGGATTGAAATATGCTGACTATCGATGCCATTTCAGTTCAATGAACTCATTGTCTTGTTCGAGAAACCTGTTTGAGATGAGTGCCTGGAGTGTGCAAAGAAAATATCCTGATATTACACCATCAGCAGGAGGTTAGCCTGTATGAATTGTAGCCTCAGATTCCTGTTCTTAGTTAGCAGATGATCTTCAAAGATCATAGATTATCTTCTGCATACCTTCATTGCAACAAGTCAGTGTTTAAGTTACTTTTACCTTTCTATCTGTTGAAAGATCTCTTTTGACTTGTTGCATCACCAAGGATTTCAAGGATATTTAAGCACCAACAAACATGCCATCTCCAATGTCACTTCAGTCACCCTTCTGCCCCATTATGCCACATTATGATGCTCAGTTTGCTGATGCATAATTCTAGAATAATATAAAATAATGTAGATAATTATCATCAGTAGGTTATACAACCTTGTATTTTAGAATGTAGAACAAACTTTGTGAAAAAAAATGAAAATAGGTATTACTGTGTCAGTAGGAAAGATAACTTTACTTTCTCGAGAATTGTGGAACATGGCTTTATACAATATGCCTCATTCACCCATTCATGCAAGCACTTTTTTCCTATACGCTTAAGTGCTTTTGATCTAACAATAACACGCATTCATACTCCGATGGAATTATCAGACGGTAATCTGGGGTTAATGTCTTGCCCAAGGATATTTGACATGCAGACTGGAGCAGCCAGGGACCAGCCTTCTGATAGTTAGGCCTGCTGTTGACTTACTCTACCCCCTGAGTACAGCCACCGAAGGTGTGAATAGTTTTCTGTCTGCAGCAAACTGACAACCTCTCCAGGCCGTATCCTGCCTTTTGACAGCTGGGATAGCCTCCAGCCTACTGTCATCATTGGGCCAACTTTGCTATTATTACTGCACAAAATTAAAGGATATACTTTGAGTTCTCAGGAGCAGGTGACGTCCTGTAAAGCCGTCATGATCGAGAACCGTGGAAGATCTGAACAATTTACACCACCCCTTACTTCTCAACCCACTCTACTGTGACCACCTTGTGGCATGTAGCAACTACAACCCCACCTCTGTGAAGGCCACATGCGATGTTAATCATGTGGTCCAGGTTTCACAATGACTCTTTTCTGACGAAATGCAGAATTGAGAGAAACAATATGACTTATTAATTACAATTCTTTATGTTTCACCCAGTTCCGCTTCTGTCTGAACATAGTAGTATTTATTTATTGTCATTGTCAAGAACAATGAAATTGCGTTTGGGGCTTCCATACAACCCAAAAAAAGAAGAAAATAATAAATACCCCTTAAAACCCAAGTGTACATATTTAACCCAATGTGACTCCAATGCAATAGACAATCCTTAGCAATAACATGAGAACATGACAAGTAATGTTGGTAGAAATTCAGACAAAGACCTGAGAAACATGACAAAGTACAACAATGCAACATGTTTAACACTTGACCTTCACACTGATTTTATTCTGTTTTCTATTACCTTGCATCCAACTTATTCTCAGTTAATATCAATCAGATACTGGTTTGAGAAACATTTTGTACATGGGAAAACAGTTGCAAGAAATAAAGCATAATATTTTCACACCTGTGCCCGTTTTTTCACAAGCACACGAGACAAATAGCAGGTTTAGTTTGTGGTCACAAACTGTTAAACCAGCCCCCTACTTTTTTTTCCACAACACGACCCCATTAGTTATGTCCGATCATTCTTGTTTGTCTTTAAAACACAGTACACTGATACTGATGCTCACAGTCTGATGCAGGTGTGAAGCAAGAGTACACAAGAGAAGGTGAGTAGTCTCGACTTTAGAGTATGCATTTAGGCTACTGACCAAATTAGTGAGCCTGAAAATCTGGGGCTACTAAAATTCTGCAGAAGCACTTTTCATGATTCAACTGACTTTATTTGAAAAGCAAAGATAGAAGGAAAGATGGTTTTTAAGGTACAAATCTGATCTTAAAATATTTTTGGTTTCAAATTAGAATCAGATTTTTAACTTTTGGTTCTTTTCTGCTTCATTGAACTACCTTCAGTAGATTAAAAAATAATATATTCTTAACCTGAATACAGATTTACAAATTATTTTTATATTTTTTTGAGATCCCACTAGTAAGAAATGTTTAAAAATATATATCTTTCTGGTTTTTCTCTTTCTGATTGTGGGATATACAAATAAGTTGTCGTAAATAAAGACTGCAATAATGAAAAAGTAAGTTCCTCTTATTCCTACTGACATGTTATTAATAGTATTATGATTTATTTTAATCATAATAAATCTAGGTATGAGGAAACAAATTCCGTTATAGTGAAAAAACATTCGACATATCATCGGAAGACTGAAGCTGGTTTCTTAGTGTAAAATTCCTGGTCTAGAGTTGAGAATAGTAATAATTTATTCGTTCTCACAAATATATGTGAGGCATGGTGTTATATTGGTTAGCAACACTGCAACAAGACTCTGGGTTCAAATCCATTGACTGGATGGGGGCTTTCTGTGTTTTCCCCACCTGTGCGGGTGCTCTGGCATCCTCCCACAGTCTGAACCCATGCATGTATTAGGTTAACTGGTCATTCAAATTTGGCCGTGGGTACGAATGTGAGTATGAATGGTTTTCTGTCCGTGCGTTAGCCCTTCAACAAACTGGCAACCTGTCCAGAGTGCTGACTGGATGCCCTTCCAACTGCCTTGATCAAAGACTATCTTCCTACACTGTAACCGATCATAACTACAAAAATTGAACCTCACCAACTATCGACCCATTTCCAACCTCCCATTTATCTTTAACGTTCTGGAACATACAGTAGCATCAGTAGTAAACCTTTATGAGTCGTTTCAGTCTGGTTTCCATTCTCGACACAGTACTGAACCAGCTCCTGTTAAAATCACCAGTGACCTCCAGCTCACATTCAATGCTGGCTTTCTCACCATCTTCATCGTTCTTGACTTCAGTGCTGGTTTTGACAAGCAGCACTGAAGCTCTTTAGTTAGAACATCTGAAAATAAGTACACAGCACTTAAAGTGGTTTACATCCTACCTGTCTGACAGAAAACTGACAGAAAAAGGCATACCAAAAGGATGTCGTCCATCATTTTGGTATACATTTTTATGCAGACGACACACAAATGTACTATTCTACTAAACCCAGAACGTCCCCCTCCTGTCCTCACCTCCTTCCTACAGGCCATCATCAGTGGGGTCACAGTCAATCAGCTAAAATTCCACAGGCAATAAAAGTGAAGTTCTATAGTGTTCTATAGATGGATATCAGGTACAAAATTCACATAGTGTCAGAAGTCTTTGAGTCATTTTGGAGAATACTCTCTATCAGTGAGATCTCTCCATCTTTGTAACTTTTCAGGACTTCGTCCTTTTCCTTTCTAGTTCATGCTTTGATCACCTGTTCTTTGGAATACTGGAATGCCATTCTCTCTGGCCTCCCAAAATAACACCATAGTTTGCTCCACATGGTACAGAACTCTGCAGCAAGCGTCATCACTCAAACCAAGACTACAGACAATCTTACTCCCATTCTCATCCAGCTTCCACTCAACGTGGCACCAAGACTGTTGCCCAGTGTGACTTGAAACCTCTCACTGACTTGGCACCCCCATGTCTTTTAAACCTCCTTCAACCCTGCACCCCTTCCTCTGCCTTTCGCTCAGGTTCATCTGCTTTCCTGACGCCTCACTTCAAACTTGACACTGTCAGTGCCCGAGCCTTAAGCTGGGCTGCACCTCATCTTTGGAACTCATTATAATTACACCTTCATCAGCTAGACTCTTTAACTCAGTTCATATCACAGCCCCAAACCCACCTTTCTCCATTCTGAGGAGCTGGTGTTAGTTTTAAAGCCGTTAACTGTTAAAAGAGTTGCAACAGATACAATGTTTTCTTCTCACCTTTGATCGGTGTCCACAACCACATGAGAAAAATAACAGGTTCATTTTGTGGCAACTGTTAGACCAGTCTAAACCCCCCTACTTGTATTTGTTTTTTTCTCACAAAGTAACACCATCAGTTATGTTCAGCCTTTTTTCTTTGTCTTTATAAGGCGACATTCTGGCACTGATGCTCTCAGTCTGATGCTGGCGTGCAGCGAAAACACATGAGACAAGGTGAGTAGCCTCAACTGAAGAGCTGACTGGTTTGAGTCATAAAGTTAACTGTTTTGAGAAGACATCATCTTATGTGGGCTATAAATGAAGTTAATTAAAATGCAATATTGTGCTAAATAAGGTAGAGAAC